AAAAAAATTTTATGAAGCTAAAACTGCAGTAGAATATTTTTAAAACGAATAAAAACGGTATGCTGGTATTACCGTGGTTGTGTACCTATTACCGTGTACGTATTACCGCGGATGTATAGGGTTATGTTTACGTACGCTCACCGCGGAAATACGTACACAATCAGTTAATGAGCGCGTTGTACCGAATACCGTGGAAAATAATTATTTACTCAAAATATACACAAATATTTCTGTTTGAATTGCATCTACATTAACGTCATTTTAGATTATTAAAATTGAAAAATTATTTTATATGAAACATTTCTTATTTTGAGCAAGTAATCATCAGTTTTTCAAAATCCACGGTAATAGGGCAGAGCACGGAGATAGGTACACTTACCCCTATTTTATATCCAAACTATTTTTAACGATATTTTTTAATCAAGCGAACAAACTTTTTTTCCATGGTTAACAAATGTAATAAAAATACACTTTTTCTATGAAAACATATTTTATCTCGTAAAATAATTTCCAATTTATCGGCCACCATCAGGATAAAATTTAATACGCCGATACTCGCTTCAAAGACGAGGAAGAAGAAGGAAAAGAAACAAGCCGATAAGGAATTTTTCATCTTTCATCCGCTTTACCCAGATAGCTACTGCATGAAGAAAGAAATAATCGCATCCGATGCGAATTCGAAAAGAAAATTACTTTTTCATCGGCATCAGAGAGCGGCTTGGATGTATACATACATTATTATGGGGTGGAAGGGCGGTGAGGCGCACATGACGTTGGTGGTGCAGCAGCGAAGCTCGAAGGTGGTGCTGCAGGGAGAGAACAAGCCCCCAGAGCGAGCTACCCGATTTCTTCGAGCTGCCGCTGCTGCTGTACCGGTGAGCGAGGCAACGCCTCATGAAATATCGATAATTGTCGAAATCGCTTTTCCCCGCGCGCGCGCGCACTCGCTCCGTCTTTCTCTTTTCCCGGATACTCGAGCGAAATGACAGAATTTCCCGGTGGTGTAGCTGTACCGCCGTAAACATACTTTTTCCCCCCTAGAACCCCTTTTATTTCAAGATTCGTTATTAAATTTCGTTCATTACTTTTACTCGAGATTTACGAAGTTCGTTTTATTTTCACACCGTCGTTGTTTTTTTTAAACTCAGTAATCGGAACTTTACTGCTTTTTTTTTAAAAAAGGTTTGTAATCTAAAGTCATAAAAAGATTCATCCTCAACCTAATTACTGTGGACGATTTTTAAACATTTTTAATACATGTTTATTCTTTACCATTATTTATGAGATTTTTTGAAAAAATCAGATTAAAAGTTTTTTGTCAGAAAACATAATTTTAATATTTGTTTCATTTGAAAATTTCATCTCTTTTTTTTTCATTTCCATAGTTTCACTTTTGAATATAATATGTGTTTCCTAAAAATACTATAAAAAAATCAGTCTCAACAATCATAAAACGAATAAATAACTTTAACCACGTAACAACTAATCTAGTTAATATACAAAACAAAATTTACTACGACAATGACTAAAATTATTGTTTAGGATTTTACGAATACGTTTATTTGAATACATTTTAATAGAGAAAAAGAGAGATCGCGGGAGAAAGGAAGGGTTGAATAAACCAGTTTGGCTGCACGTACAGTCTGTAGTTGATTACACATGGATGGATATAAATGAAGGCATTGAAATGTTTTGAGTTATGCAATATAATTTATAAGGTGAATACACTTTTATATGATTGTAAAGAAACCCGTAAACGAAAAAGCTAGGCTTTTTTTACTAGGTAATATAACTGGGCCGTCTATGAACTGCTTTCCATGTTTAGGGTTCTTGACATTTTCCTTTTAGCAAACAAATTTTTTTTCCATTTTTGTCCTCCTGTTTTTTGTTAATTGGACAAAATATTATTCACAAAGCTATCCAAATCTTTTTTTAAATATGCCGAATCAGGTAAGAAACGAAAGAAAAAGAAGAGACGAAATAGCTCGTTTAATTAAATACGAAGCTTGAATCTCAACAACAATGAAACACGGAAGGAAAAGGGATGTGAGTTTTAGTTATAGCCATATTTTTATCATGAAGTATTTTTCATTGTTTTCGTTGCTATTTCTTTTACATACGTATATACGCGCATGTAAAACTACATGTCTCTCAAATAAAAAGGACCTACTCTGAAAAAAGTCATATCTTTTTCTATTTGTAGCAATAACTGAAAATCCATAGCGAAAAAAAAATAGTTCCGTCCGCGAAGTCCAATAACCCAGGGCTGGAATTAACGTAGAGACATTTTATATAAATCAAATAAATAAATTACTGTAAAAAATAAAAATGACTTGCACATCATTTCAATAGTTTTCCTAGATAACTGATGATTTATCACAGTAACCCGGCGGTGAGTTGAATAAATTATTTTAATTTTTTTTCGTTAAAATAAATAGTGTAATAATTAAAAAAATAAGTGTATATTGCTTCCACGTTGTTCGATAGTTTTTGTAGATGGAGAAAATTGATCAGCTATAAAAATAACTTGAATGAGTAATAAATAAAAATTCCTTATCAATAGAATATCTCACTCCCAATAAAGGTTCGAGGGGTTTAAAAGCGTGTACATAAGTTTAATTATTTTAGGATGATTTAACTTGCCACTTGGTGGATGTTTCTATAGGCCACTGATTATTTATCAATTTTCACGAAATCTAAGTCGTTAACATATTATTTTTATGATCCCAATTATATCAGCAAAAAAACCATACTTAAAGTATTTACTTGTTGTATTAAAATAAACATTTTTCAAATGTGATTTTCTCTGAAATAAGATAGTCAGCCATGCAGGTTTTTTTATGATATTTAATATAGGATACTTTAATTAACAATATCTCCAATTTTCACATCACGTCGTTATTTAGTAATAAAGGAATAATTAAAATTAATTTTGGTTCAAGTTTTGCAGTTGTAACAAAATTATAGGTCTCCTAGCTTTTTAAGAATCCAAGGGCCTGTAAAGAATTAACAATAAAATTTGTATTATTATTTACATAACATGGAATTTTCCATGTATATATGCCTACACACGTGTACGTACATGCGAAAGCACAGACGTTTCTCTCTTTCTCTCTTGCCTGCCCGATGTCTCGTTGGCATTTAACGTAGAGTTCCCTACTCTCCAGTCTCTCCACCAGCGAGTGCTTCGAGATTATACATAATACATTGGTAGCAAGTAATACGAAGGTTAAAGAAAAAAAAAAAAGGGATCTGGTATAAGCAAGTGTCGGTGATAGATGGCGGATGACAGGAAAGTCAAGATGGTAGGTTATAATATAAAACGTCGACGACGACGAGGCGCCTTGACTCCGATTTTTATTACTCTGTCCGCGCTCCTAACCTCAAAGACTTACGATAAATAATCTATAAATAATCTAAGCTATCGTGTGTGTGCTTTTTTTATATCAAATGTGTGTCTGGCTTACTCTTTCATATCATCTTCGGTGGTGTAGACCCTTTATTTACTCTTCGGCAGCTAATATCTTCTAAATCTTCGGTGGCACGTTAATCCCTCTTGTTAATTTTCATTAATTAATCTTCGGTTGTTCGTCGTACTTATTACGTTCAATGCACACTTCAATTACACCACCAGCCTAATGACACTTTTGTTATCAGTCCTCATCAATGAGATAAGGAAAAGCTGCCAAAAAATGTAAACAAAACTCGCGTTGTTCTTATACACTACATGCAGTTTTACAACACAGTATTGGCGATCGCAGTCGCGAGATTACGTTGTCGATGCACTATACTTACTTATTTTTCCGTCAACATGCACAGATTCACAAAACAGCGTCCGCAACGATGAAAAACCTCGTGGCGCGATAACGGCACCGATTGACAGTACAGCAGGCACTTTGACAAGTATACACCTATAGCACGTAATCCTATACTCTGCAATTACATACTGCTGTCTGCTTCTACTTGTCACTGCACACTGCATCGGTGCAGCAGCAGATATACATATATAAAATTATATATGTGGTTGATAACCTTGCAAGAAGTTTTTAATAAATCCTTGTGTTGGTGATTATTTTATTTCGTGCGAACAATGATGACAATCACCGGCTACTACAGCATCAGGACATCGCGGCCTTCGCGGAGGACAACTTTGATCCGATCGACTGGCTGAACGGGCTCAACAAGACGGAGGAGGTGCGTGCGAACATCGAGGTGAGTTTTAACACTTGAGTATGTAATATGATGTTCATGTGGACAAGAAAAATTATTTGCCATTACCCAAGGTAAGTACAGCCATAGATTGATACCTAATATGCATGATTCCTGAGGGTGTAATTGGGCATGACTTGCCGCCCACGTTGGGTTTGGTTCACTCACTCCGACTCACTCTCTATCTCTCACCCTAACGACCAGCGACCAAAGACTGGCGCTCGAATGCCTCGAATCCAGACATACTCGTATCCATATGTGTAGGTGCAGGGTACACTAGGATAAAGATAAACCTGCTCTGTGTACATGTGCCTGTCCCTGTCTGACTTGACTCCCCCAACCCCCTTTTACGCCCCACTGTCCGTGCCTCTCTTTCTCTACCGGCCTTGCTGCGTTTCCCGCACTCTCAGCTCGGCGCATAGTCGTTGCGACTGAAACAGGGGGCAAAGCTGATGCATGTATTGCAGTATAGGTGGTAGGTGCATCAGCGTATAGGTAACCAGCAGAGCAGCTTTTTTTTTCTTCTCCATATCACGTTCGCTCTCAAGGGTGCTTTTTTGGCTTTTGGTTTATCTTAGGAAGGTTCTTCACTTACTACGTTTAAATTTGCAAGCTTTCTGCTCTCAAATTATATCCTTGGAGGATCTTTTGCACTTCATTCTACTTTGTACGTTCTCCACCTTCCTCGCTCTTCGGCAACGTTCCAAGGCTGAATATATCCATACGTGTGTACTCGCATTCCCATCTTGCATTAACTCCGAGGGTCACAACTTTGACTAATTTTAATTCATAATATTTACTTCAAGTTATTAACACCAAATTATCCTGTAACCTAACCTTTTCAACCCTATGTAACCCCAGAACTTAAAAACCCTGTCATCCCAGAGCCATCAACGTAACTCCAGAGTCTTTAACTTAAAAATTCCGTCATCCCAGAGGCATTAATGTGACCCCAGAGTCTTTAACTTAAAAACCCTGTCATCCCAGAGCCATCAATGTAACCCCAGAGGCTTTAACCACCTATGATTGGGTTTGAGGCTGTGGAGTTGCAGGGTTATGGGGTTTCAAAGCTGAGGTTATAGTATATAATTGAGTTTTGATAGCTTGAGATTTCAATTATACATCAACAAATAATGTATACAAATTAAATAAAAGTGTGAGCAGCCATGACGGGGGGTGTTGATTCGATGTATACCTTTTAGAAACAGAGAGTGTCACCCAACCGGTAAAATGAGGATCTTTTATTTAAAAGGAAGAAAATGATATCAATGAGTATTTCTAGTTGCAACAGATAAGTTGTGTAAAAAATAAATGTGTCCAGATTAAAGAAAATATAAATATCATAACTATTGAATCATAAGAATAACTGAAACGTAAGAAAAAGTAAAACAAAACTTGTGGCTCGTTTAGACAAGTGAGGGTCAAGATATTAAACCACTTTTCTCTTTTGATGAAGAATAAAATAATGAATACCAAGATCTAAAAGCAAAATAAGACATTGATATTTTGAATTGTTAAAAAAATCATCGAGTAGTATATTCTAATTCATTAAAAACGGTTTGTGAACTTCGTCAGTTCTTGAAGAAGATTTATTTTCTCAAACTGCACTTGGAACATTGTTGAAAAGCAAATCTCCAAAAGCTTTAGTTTAAATGTAAGTTCAGGTCAAAAAGTACTTGGAAAGACTAAATTTTTAGTGTTTATACTTATATTATGTCAAAAATTATTGTATATTTTTCAATGAACAATACAATTTTATGAATGATTCACAGTTACATATTATTTTGTATATACCATGATTCTATTGTGAAGCCCTAGTTGATAATCCGAGAATGGGTGAATGTCGGGTGTACGGAGTGTAATCTTATTGTAGGCAAACATTTTTTTTTTTTTTTTTTTTCGTAAGATCGGATTAAGAGTATAATGTTTGTGCATATCGCAAAGTATAATGTTATTATTAATAAGCCAGCAACGCAGCACTCATGCACGTGCGTGTAACCGACGAAAAAAAAAAAAAAAAAAAAAAAAAGCGGACAAGGAGGAAATTGAAAATTTCCCCTCACTAAATGCGCGTACGAATGCACATATTGTGCACACCATGGATCCGAGTATGTGTGCGCTTTACGCTAATTAAGCAAGGGGTAACAAAAAGGCAATACTCAAAAGAACCGCCGCAACCACGCCAGTATATTATAATATATACGTATTATGTTGTACCTATGTATACATATAACATAGTTATTGGATGCAAAAAAAGTGCAAAAGTGCCAGAGAAGAAGTGAGCCTTGTGTGTAGTCGCTCATGCCGTGAATGCACCCTCGTCTATACACTATGCCTATGCCCATATATATATACCCTTTTCTGTGGCCGAGGTTAATGCACACTTACGATGGGGTTCTCAACCTACACTAGCAGACATGCGGTATATATGTATACGAAATGGAGTACCCCGTTTCCACACCTTCGTTGCAGAAAACGAGCAAAAAAAGTCCGGTGCAGATGTGGGGAGGGGGGGGGGGCGACAGGGACAAGAGGGTGCAAGTTTCTTACGCTCGAGTGTACCCACGTATGATAAGGTAAAGTACCCTGTATTCGGACAAAAGTGTTGTTCGGACCTATATCCGGACAGCAGCGATAATTACATAATTTTTTTACAATTTCTGAATGAAAAAATTTACTTGTAATCTACAGTATCAAATTGATTTAGGATAGTTACAACATATGTCGAATTAATTTGATAATTCATTAAAAGAAATGTTTTTTCTTGTAAATCGAGGTTTTTTGTGTTTGGCTGCTGTCCGGAAATTAGATACTACAGTTCAAACTGTACCCCATATTCGGACACACATAATCCAGCAATTCACTTGCTTACAAGTGCAAAGAAATGGTTATACTATGTAGTAAAATACAATAATAATTTGTTTTTTGCATTTGTTTAACAAATTAAAGCCATTAAAGTAAAGTATAACTGTATATAAAGATCTGCCATAACCTCATTTTCTCAATGTTCACGACTGTCCGGATTATGGTCCCTACGTCGTAACGGGACCTATATTCGGACTATTTAGAAATGCATTGTCCGAATATAGGGGTTTTGAGACTGAATCTTTATAATTATTTTAAACAATGATCACACGGTCTCAAAGAACTTTTTTTTTTTTTAAGTGACAGAAAAATTACTTTATTATCTATATGTCAACCGCCTTTTTCGCAAAAACAGCTAATTTCTTTGTGAATTTAGAAATAGTGGATTACCTAAAATTGTGTGTCCAAATAGAGGGTACTTTACCTTACATACCTGTGCATTTGCTGCCGGGCGTTCGCGCACATATATGTGAGGGGGTGTATACCTATATTTACGAGTAAAGATTGAGGGCCTTGTCTCGAGGACGCCGGGCGCGCTTTAGTATTTTGCGGGGTTTCGTTAAAAAAAGACGGTAAAAAGAGATAGATGAAATTTATATACATTCAACCGAGGTGTCGGAGAAGAGGGTATACGTGCGATTTATGCAAGACACGGGAGTAAGTGGCCCCCCCTCCTTACTTTGTTTGTTTTGTTATGTATCTCTTTGTTCGCGATACACATCGCCGATAGGAAGGAAAGCCGGCCGCCCTCGCGATCGAAACTAGTTTTTTGGTTTTGTTTTGTTTTGTTTTCGGCTTCGTTGCTGGCATGTAGTTTCTCGCACGGTCGTGCGGAGGGAAAAGTCGTGCGAGTGTACTGTCGATTATACGGTATGAACGTATACCTGCTCGCCTCAAAAATAATCGTGTGCCCGTGGTATGTACCCCTCGGGAAAAGAGCTTATAATATGCGTTCTTATCCTTCCTCTACAAACACAGGCTTCTAATGTACGTCTTTAAAAAATCTTGTAAAGTTTTTCAGGCTCTCAATACATCTACTTACAAGATTTTTTAAAGATTACATTAGAAGTCTTTGTTGGCTTGGTTTCTTTATTCCGCATTATCGTTGGTGTGAGTTGGGTAACTCGAGCGAGTCTTTCGATGTGGTGACCCAATATACATGTGCATTATCTCGATATTGTACGCGCTTGTGGGTATTAAGGGCATTTCGGTACGATCGCTTGTTTCAAGTATGTTAGTGTATGTATGCGTGAGTATCGATAGAAAGAACATAGCAAACTCATGAGAGCCTCTATACTCCTTGTTGTGCATGGAATGTCACGCATAAGCTGATGATTAAGTTTTTAAATTTCTGATATTTTTTTGTTGTTGTTCAGTTACACAGATGTTTTTTTTCTCCTTCATATAGGATTATTTTACAGCTGTGCTTAGGGTTATTGGATTACGCGGTTTTATACTGCGCTGGAATCGATTCTTGAAGCAAAACCCGTTTTCCTTGAAGTGGATTATCCATTACTTTTTTTTAGATTTTGTATTATTATTTGAAAATTAATATTTAACTTGGTTATGATATAATGAGTGATTATTTACGGTAAAGAAGACGGCCGATGAAATCCAAAATACATTCCTCGAATTTCATGCGTATTGGTATGTCTTTTGAATTCATACATGTTTTATCGGAGAAAATCCTACATGCGCATCGTCTGTTTCGGTGTTGCGGCGGTTATACTCACTAGAGAATACATTATAAGGCTAATACCATCACCACAGAAATTTAAAAAGTACGAAAGGGGGAGAAAAAGGCTAATGCTACTTTCATTCGCTATACCTACACAGCCAATTGTGGTTTTTTTCATTTCCTCCTACTCTTCTTGCACTTCTTCTTCTTCCACTTTTTCAATGGCTTCGCAAAAAATCAAACTACTCCATACGCTATTCTCTTTTTTTCGGTCGCTACTCTCTTTGTGTTTTTCGCGTACACTTGTTCTTTGTCACTTATTTTTACGTTCAAAGTACAGCATACCTTAATGTGCGGTGAATTGTATTGTCGGCGTACTTAAATTCACCACCAAATTGGGATGTAATTTATAACATTATATATGTTAAATATAATAATTAACACATTTATAATAGCATTGATAGTATTAATGTACAAGTATATTTAGTTTGATGACTTCATTAATTAAAAACTTCA